GCTGAATACATGCTAAAAAAGGATGTTATTGTAAGTGCCAAAGCATCTGCTCCAGATTTTTGAGGAGTAAATGGTGACTTTGTGTCTCTTCTTGTTGAATCCTATTTATTCACTGTCTTTGGCACTTGTATTTATTTGCTCCCAGCCCTGATTAAGGAAGTTTTATAGTGAGAGTGCTTCTAAGACTGACAGAGTTTCTGTAAAGGAAATTTTTCTTTAAAAAAAAATTGATTTTTATGCTTTGATCTAAGAACAGTCAAGCTGTGGCACAACTGTGTTTCTTATGGTAAAGACTTTAATAAAAAGTACAGTCTTGTTGCTAGGAATGCACTTATAGCTGGCACAGTAAACCAAGGTCTTTATAGTCTCCCAGTCTATTGATGACTTTGAAAAGTGAGTACTTGGAAATAGTTGGCAGAATTATTGATGCTAAAAGTGGATTAAGGATTACATTTAGTGTGTCTTGTAAATTTTTCCTGCACTAAGCACTGTACTGATACTGAACAGGGGACATTTGAGTGCTGCATGCATATAGGCAAGGATTAGTGGGCAAGGCAAGAAAGCTAAAGACATACTTCCCTGGTTAAAAGTATTGGTTGTGATGCAGAAATGAACATCAGGGGCTTACACCTCAATGATTAAAGGAAGCTTCACTGTTTTGTGAATAACTGCTTTACAGATGATCCAATTAAATTGTCTTCATAGAAGAGATCTGGCGTTTGAACTAAGCTTTTCATAACTACATGGGTTTTAAGGTGCTTATATTTGTGTTTTTCCTTTGCCTTGTAAATAGGAGATTTGTGATCACTGGACCACAAGTCATTGCTATGCAAGAAACACTGTGACTGATACATATGATTCTGCAGAAAACTAGATTAGGAATGTTTCTTTGTTGTAAATCAGATTGCTACAGTCACTGTGTGTTGTATTTGTTTATTTCTCTGCATTACAAAACACTTTTAGCTTTTACTATCCAAGTGGCTAAATATTTTCCTTGTTAAAATACCACCAAATTTTAATTAAAACTGCATATAGATAACAAGCAATAAGTGGGAATTGGTTACTGTAGGCTAGAATAACAGGGTTTACAACTGGTGTTTTCCTAGTAAATGGCTGATTACGATTACTTATGCAGGTGAATTTCAGAGAATTGGGAGGAGTGAGAAAGATGGTAAGAGGGGTATAGAAAATACGTTTTCTGAGAAAAAACAGAAATAATTGAGCTGTTTAATCTAGAAATCTGAGGAGACATGGCAATAATCTTCATGTCTAAGCCGCTGCTGTGAAGAGTAGTTTGCCCTCTTCATGCATCTTTATGTCCTTTGGGAATTGTAGAGGAAGGAAAGATTTTAAACTTGTAGCAAGGGAAACTTAGGCTGAGTGTGGGAAATAACGATGTAATAGTAAGGACATCTGAGTGCCGCAATAGATTGCCTGAGGCATATGTACAATCTGGAAATGCTAAAAAGTGAGTTACACTGAAGTATCTTGGGAGTATTTTACATAAAGTTTTGCTTTGCTGCATGGCTGTGAGGAGACAGACTAGGTGGCCTTGTAAGCTGACATGAATCAACTTAGTGAACTAAGGTTTATACTGCCTGAGAGTGTCCCAGAGCACGGGAAAAGTTGAAAGCTATTAAAGCAAAATTTCTTGTAGGAGATTTTTTGCTCATGTTGCTGGGCAGAAAAGGAAATGGTGTTACCAGCTCAAAGTTACTTGGAGAATACTTTAGCAAAGGTCGAGCAGAAGCTGATGATCTCTTCTAGCTGGAGGGCAATGCCATGCCAGATGTCATAACTCTAAATATTCTGCATTGACGAGATTGTGGGGAAAACGAAATCCTAGATTAGGTGAAATGTTTCATTCTGCAATCTCGCAGTTCGATATTTTACTCTATTTTGAGAGAAAAGTTTTACTACTACTTCTGTAGGTTTTTATAACGGAGGTGTAAATGTCAGCTCAGAAATATTTCAGCTTTGAAGGATTTGTGGCACCCTGCCAAGTGTTGTGAAGCCTTGCAAATCGAAAACAGCAGAGGAGAGTATCATTTGATATAAAGTGTTATATTTTCATTAGCTGCCAATTTTCACTAATGGGAGAACAAATCTAATAGCCTGACTCTACTCTCATGGCCCACAGAGAGACCATTAATAATTTCATTCATCTAGTGTCCAAGGTGATTTACCTGGGTGTAACTATTGCTATTGGACTTTAGCAAGTATCACAAAATGCTAAAAGTGATGTTCCTATTCCCCATAATTATATTTATGTATTTATTTTTTACTTCATTATTAATTCTCTGGAACATGTAGTTATTCACACAAGTGTTTTTGGATTGAGTGATTTTAGTATAGTTGGATTTGATTGTGAATATCATTAGGCAGGTCTATTTTTCCCCCAGAGAATAATGAAGTCATTGCATACAGCAACTGTGAAGGAAAATCTGGAACAAAATAACTTGTAAATTTGTATTACATTTAGTGAATAACTCTGCCAAAAAATTGTCTCTCTATTAATACTGAAGTACTTTATTTTAAAATTTGTGGGTTTAAGTGCATTTTTTTAAAATTAAAACAAGCTTAATGAATACCCAAACAAAATATTTCATTTCAATTTGGATTAAAATTATATATTCCAACTTGACTAAAAATTAACATTTGTATTTCACATAAAGAAACTCTCGATTGAGCCTTCTAGATTGGTCCATAGTATTCCTCCCCTCTCTTACTTCCTTACCAGCTCCTGAATTTTTGGTCCAAAAAAATGGTCTGAGGATGTGTCTTGGCACTTAGCTCTAGTTGATTGTCTAGTTGATTGTCTAGTTGATTGTCTAGTTGATTGTCTAGGACAATTTGATACCACTTAATCCTCACTTTTATTCTACCTAAACCCCATAGGTACAGCATCATGTGGGGATAGGCTTCACTGCCATACAGGTCCTCTTTGAAGGTCATGGCTCTGTCTGCCCATCATATATTTAAAGAGAACAGTGGTGCATAGCGAATGGGATACAAATCCTAAGCATTCATGTAAAAAACATATTCTAGATTAAAAAAACGATTTGTCAGCAAATTATCAAGTTGTGTTCATATGATTAAAATTCAGGTTCTGCTGAAACACTAGGTGAGTGATAAAGAAAACTTGTGGTGTAGAAGTTTTGACATGGGGCTTTTGAAGACATTGGGTGGGGGGCCAGTGGCTGAACGGAGATGAGGTCCTGCAGCACAGAGGAACGGATTAGTGTGTTTCAGGGATTGCTCCTGAATAAGCTGCCAGGGCCAAGCTGTCACCTCCAACTGATTAAACCTTGTTCCAAGCAAGATCTTAAAGAGCTATTGCAGGAGGGATGGGAGTGAGAAGCATTGACGTAACGGTGGGCTACAAAGGGAATTTTGGAGAAGGAGTTAGATAGAAGGACAAAAATAAGTGAGAGGGAAAACTTTGGTCACTAAGAGAAACTCAGCATCCTTGCAAGTTTAACCCCTGACTTCCCTCTTGACTATAGGTTTGTACCTGAAATGAGCATGGCATGCAGGTGTGAAAAGAGAAGAAACAGTATGAGACTACTCAGCTCTATCAAATTGCTATGAAGCTAGAATAGTTGTCCAAGAAAGTATTGAAAGTTGTTTGGTTGAAAACAAGTTTGAGGTGAAAAAAAAAAAAGCTTTAAAGAAATAAAAAACATCAAAATTTTGACTGTCTGTAGTGTGTTTTGTTTCATTATTCAGACACATGCTTAGGTGAATTAAGCCTGTAATATCAATTCTGGTTTTTGGTCTACAGTAATATACAACTGCTACAGTAATATACAACTGCTAGCTTTGAAATTTCTAATGGCTATATCAATGTTCATACACTGATAGCTTCCTTTTTCTCTTACTTACTCTCCTTACTCCCTCCCTGCCAAAAACACATAATGAAGTAACTTCTGTGAAATAGCTTACCTTGTAGGGTATATTTAATAAAAATAGAGCGTAAAGACAACAATATTAATATCATAAATCATGCTTTTTATTAACTAAAATGAGAGATAACACAATGAAAACAGTAGCCAATAATTTTCACTTGTAGGTATCTGTTATTTCTGTTCATTATCTCTGTTACAGGAGCACAGCTGTACTGGATTGCCTTGAGTATTGTACATTGACATAGTAAGTAGCAGCTCTGACCTGCTTGCCTTGTGCTTGAAGGGTACCGCTGCTCCGGGTGAGCAGGGATCACAAGGACTGAACTGCTTTTTCACCTCAGGAGCAGTTAAATGCCAAAACAAATATGTTTTTTTTTCAGAATGGTTTATTTTATATTCTGCTGGCCAGGAAGCAAAAGATGCAAAGATCACTTTCAATATCAGGTCAAAGAGAGTTAAAAAAATGTAGAACAAGCAAAAAAAGTAATTTTGACTCATTTTGCAGTGTTTTTTTTTCCTGTTTCAGTATAGCCACTCTTGTCTCCTGCTCTTCTGTTCAAAGCTGCAATGCAGCATGACTGACTGTTCCCTCTTTCTTCCTTTCACTTTTCTAATTGCCAAGTATTCCGCTTCTATAAGGAAGAAATGATGGTGAAAATGTTGTATCTAAGCAGGTTAAGTAGTTTAATGCCTGGATACCCATTTTTATTCCCATTGAATGGGAGTTTTCTAGATTCAATCACTTCATACTGGCAATAATGATACTCAGCAACATTTAGTGCTACTGGCATTCAAAGGGCTCAGCCTATGAGCAAGGAGAATGAATGGGTTGGAAGTTCTAGGATTCTTTCAGGCACACAGGAACATTGACTGGCTGTGTTAATTGCTTGTTCTTGTGCCATTTATGCATGTTCAGGTAATCCTTTCCCTTTCCTCTTAGTTTAGTACAACTGAAATAATGTCACAGGAAGGAAATCTTTCACCGAAGGAGATTTCAAGTGCCAGGGTTTGAGAAAGCAGTAGAGGTATAAAGTGGGGACTGCGGTAATTAATACCAGGTTCTAAAAGTCCAGGCTATTCTCTTTTTCTCAGCATTGTGAAAAGATTGCTGGTTCACTATTTCATATTAGGTATTCTAAGAACACTTGCATATCATTTATATATTATTTCATAAGCTGCAGAACTCCTGTTGTGAGTCTATATTTTTATTAGTTCAAGATCTGAGCTTTTAAATGAGCCCAGACTCCCCAGCTGTTGCCTCCTTGCTGATTCATTTAATTCATATTGTTTCTTGAATTTGGACTAAGCAAGGAAGAGAAAATTTGAGTAGAGGGGTTGGGTCTGATTTTAACCTGTTTCTGTCCGTATATTCAGTGTGGGTACATGTGGCTCAAGTCATGTGCTGTAGCAGACTCGAGCCTAATCTCAATGAAGCCTTTATAAATACAGCCCCAGATGCTGTATCAGAGAAGGGTCCAGTGGCTCAATAATCATTCAGAGACACTGACTGGCACAGACTCTAGTTAGATACATTCTAGTTGAAGAACCTGTCTTACATCATGGTTGGCTTTGTTGGCCCAGTGACAGTACAGCTCACCCTGACTGGGGTGCAATGCTGGCTGCATGGAGGAGAGCAAAGAGGGTGGCTGTTCATCTTTGAAAGAAGTCATATCCAGAGATATTTCTGTTAAATCAGTGGATAGATGAAGCAAAGCTGGGAAACCTGATGGCAAGACTGAAGAAAAATACTGGGCACTCTCCTCTTTCAGCACATCTGGAAAATATGACAGCTATGGTAACATGTATATTTTTAAAACTGTATTAGAATTTACTTTAAATTCCTTTTTAATCTTAATGATTCCTCATATATCTGAAGGACTAATGTGGGCATATGTGCTAATTAAATGTAATGCTGCAATTGCTAGCTAATTTAAAATATTCAGAAGTATTTTACATCAAGTGATATTGACTTATCTGAAGCCAAACCTACCCTTGAGAACCAGTTCTCTACTTGCCAGTGATGTGAAATAAAAAAACCCCAAAATATTGCCTCTGCCCTTTGCCCTTATCAGTCCTGGGGTTTAATTCCATTGACTTTTGGCTCCTCGCTACGTAAAAATGCACCCACAGAATTCAACGTGGGGAAAACTGTATACATTCAGATTAGAGTAACAAATGTTATCAGGAAGTGGTATGAAAGCTTTGTTTCTAGCTTCTCAAAATTGCAGAAATTTTAAAAATGCTCTCAACTTACACTATTCCCAGAGCTGTACTGGGTACTGAACAGGGAGTGAATGAAAGAAGCCTCTTGCAACACTTTTCTTACTATTTACTTTCTGCCAGTATTCACTCTTCATAAATACTTGCCTACGAACAGAAGATTACTGCCAATGGAGAGAGGCATCAGATCTTTTCATTTCTGTAGCAATAAAAACAATTTCTGAATTATCTTTGGAGGGTGCTCTTGGTGAATATTAACTACCCTGTATCCTGCAGGACACCCAAAACCAATAAAGCTCCATATTAGGATTATATATTGCTAATGAGAAGTGGTAAGTGTATATACACTGTGTGGCATTGCATTGGGAAAGAAAAGTTTTTAGCTGTTAAATAGTAGAGATAATTTGTTGATACAACTGCTTCTGTATCTCTTAGTGTGAATGTAAATGACTTAATGATTGGCTTTAGTGCCGTTGCAAGATGATGTTTATAATAACACATTTCTATCAAAGTCTATGAAGAACTAATAAAACATTAATTTCTGTTCTCATGTACTTGCATCTTATGCAATTAATATCTATGGCAATATAAATTCTAATATATTTTAGAATTGAACTCTCTATTTCCATGGAGAAGGTAAAGCTGTTGCTTTCCTGCTGGAATGCTTGTCAGCAGTGCATACTTGGGATATGTGAATATCAGCCCAGTTAATGAGCAAATTACAGTATTAGTAGTCTGGCTTTGATACTGATATTGACACTTGCTAGAATGAATTGCTCTACCTTGCCATGGGAAACAGTGACAGAAAACATCAAATCTCTTGGTACCAAGTGTTGTGACTTAACTATAGGGAAAGTTTATCTTCCTATCAAAACTAGAGCTTATGTTATTGAAACTGTGTTTTTAATTCACATCAGCTGCTTTGGAGAAATTGCAGTTCATTATTAATAATTGAGCCTTGGTCATACATATTTTTTGTACCTCAATACACGATTCCCTTCTTGATGGCTGAGGAACAGCAGATTTCACAAATTACTTTAGAAATTAAATGGCTCAGATCTCTTTCCTTACGCTACTCTCTGAGCTAACATAAAGCTATCTCATTGCACTAATACAGATAGAGAGCAGCATTTCAGAAACTGTACTCCTCCAACTCTGTGGTGAGCAGAATGACAGTGATAAACCACAGGCATTGTTTCTTATCTCACCTCATCACTACCCTGTCTGCTTTATTTCTGTTAATTTTGCATTCCAGCCACAGACCATTTCAAGTTTTTTGTATTTTGTCTGTCTTTGCAGGAGTTCCTAAAATAACCACTCGAAAGTTATATTTTTTTCCTTAATATTACCTACAGGGAATAAACAAGACTAGGTTTTCTTATGGCATGAGAATAAGTTATTTTCCCCAGGTATACCATATAACATGACACGAATGCTTTTCCCACTATCAGGATGTTTCAGAATGGATAAGTTGAAGTCTTGGATTCGAATGTAAGCCAAGGCGATGTGAATAAGCAGTGTTCAATCCAGTGTAGCCAGCCAAAGTAAACAATGGGCTCTTTCTGTTTAGCCTAGGTCACTTGTTGGAAACCCCTAAAGCTAATTCTGTCTTTCAGAATATAATTTTCTTATCTCCACAGCTGTTGTGCCCTATGATGTGTCCTACTTCATGGCTCTTCATTCAAAATGGTGCAAATCTGTTGTGTGAGATTCTCTCACTGAGTGTATTGTGTATATACTCTGTAATGAGACCAACCTATATGGAGCCCTGCCAACTTCATTATCACTGATACTGCTCACAACTGTGGCATTTTAGTGTCAGGACAACTGATTGCACAATTTAGCATGGCAGATACACTATAAAACCTTTTATGATTAAGTTTGAGACCTAGTTTGGAGAATAGTCAAGGAAATAACTGTGTCAGAAAGTGCACAGTGGAATTCCATTAGCACAGTCACAGCTAACGTGGGAGCTGTTTTTGTGGGAGACATGGAGTTGAGTTTGCTCACACAGAGTTCTGCAGTCAGGGACTGGTGGTCAGAGCCAAACTATTTTTCCACAAGCTCTCAGAGGTGATGTATAAGAGAGGTTCATGGACACCCGATATCTCTTTGTTAGTTGCTCTTATGAGGAATTGCATACAAAGCCATTTTAGGATCAGATCTGCTTATCAACAGATGAAGCCTAGAAAGAGGAGGGTTAGTCATTAGCTGTCTAGTATGAAAGACTGAGTATCACAATCAGAAAGTTTGTATTCTCTTCTGGTGCTTTGTCATGCTATATATACTTCTCTGTCTGTCCTCTCTTATTTATTGTCACTTGTTACTTCAGACAAGCCTTGTCTGCCAGGGACAAGGCAAAGGCAAAAATACCTAGCTCTCCCCCACCCCAAACAAACAAACAACCCCTTGGACATCCTTTAGTTGATGCTCAAAACCAAGAAGCAATCTCTAACTTTCCTATATGCTATGAACTCTTCTGATGAAGCAGATATCCAAGTCCACAAGATTGCCAGGGCCAAAACCCTTGCATAATTTCATATTGCTAGCGTCTGAAAATGGAGCTGTTGGCCAGTGGGCAGTCCTTGTAACACTAGTAAGTGCTTCTAAGGTGAATGCTAGTCATGATTTCATTGTTGGTGGCTTCTGTCTTGCTCTAACAGGACACAACAATGCAATCAATGTTGGGTTTATCTATCTTATTCCTGTCCTGTCCTTGTCGCTAGATTGCAAACATATTTTTCTCCTCTAAAGGTTTTTACCTTACCAACGTTGCAAATGCAGTGCTGCTTACTGCTCTTTCTGTGATCTTACCAACTTCCAAATGTCATTGTTTCTTGATTTCATGCTGTTGAATGCCAGGGAGTGTTGCTAGTGTAAGCAGCATTTGAAACAATAAGGTGAGGAGGTGCTAAACAATAACCTGCTGTTACTTATGGGAGGTGAAAACCATGGTGGAAGCACAGGTCAAAGACTCTGTATGGATCTTTATGCAATGTTTGATTCATTCATGACCAATGCATGGTTTCATAGAAAAAAACATTATTAGTCCATATTATCACAAAACTACTGTGTATTTTTGCCTTGATTAGTCTGTGGTGTGGTGCTTGCATAGAAATTATCTTAAAGGACTACATGCTGTTAAATGGAGATGAAGTTAATGTAACCTGGAAGTGCTTGTGTCTTCAGAAAAGAACAACGTTTTTTAGTGTAGTGTTGTAGGCAGTAATGTTGGGAAGTCCAAAGCAACCTCAGGCACTTGGGCTCCTGTTCCTCACTGATGTTTCTAGTGGAATTAGGGCTCCTGTTTCCCTTGGTGCTTTGAAAGTCACTGTTAAAGGCTCTTGAAGTTCATGGAAGTACTTTTGTGCCTTAAATATATGTTATCAGGCTGAAGTTTTCAAAATCTTGCTTGTTAAACTGTTAAAAATGTTGGATGAATATGTAAACATGTCAAAAATGTCGGGCTAAAATTTAATACTAAATTTTCAGGTATTAATACGAAGTAAGCCTCTTAAATTACCCACCTGCTACCAGGGGACGTTATATGATTGAACTTGTATTTTCAGCCGTAATAGAAAATGTCTAGAAACCAGTTTTCTTCATCCAAGGACTACATTCATTTCTAATAACATCTAGGCATTTAAACAAGCTTGTACTGGCTTATGAATAGTAATAGGCTGTACTTTTGGTTAGGATGAAGGAACATAAATCACAAAGTGTCAGGCAGCTTAGAAACCAGTATGTCCTCATGATTGTTTAATACAGTACAAAGGGAATTTCCTTCAAGCTGGTGAAATCTCGTATCCAGTCGCCCATCAATGATGCTTCAAAAAAATAAGAGAATTGTTCTTTTATGAGTCTTGGCATAAAAATTTAATGAGCAGCTGAGCTCTTTCTGAAGATGGGAAAAAAAGTGATTTATTTTTATATAGTCACTTTCCTTTAACTGTTTACTTTGTATTTCTGTATTGTTCACACTGACAAGATCTGCTGCCTTCTACATCTGTTTTTTTCTTCTAGTAATTTTGAAATCCTTTTACCTGGTTTCAGCATTTTTTATTTTATTTTTTTTTTTTTACCTTCTGTTTCAGCATATTTGGACACTGCTCTTGGAAGACATTCAGAACACAAGTCAGAGGAAGAAATGGATATATAATCAGATTTAATAGCTAGTGGATACAAAACTGCTGTTATTAAACAAAATAATAATTATAATAATTATTACTGTCATCAATAGATGTGTTGAAATGAATCTCTGTTTTGAAGAGTACAAAGATAGTGAATATATACTGATCAGAAAATCAGTCCTCAATTGGAATCAGATACTATTTATGTTATTTATTATAGGTTCATCTCCTTAGCACGTTATTTTGCTCTTAAAGGAATTAAATCTTATGGCTTAGCGTGCATTTGCAGTGTCATAGTATAATTCCTGTGAGAACTATGAATTTGATTTTTGTTTAATTTCTCAGATTTAAACAAATACACTTTAATCTTAGTTTTCTTACTTTACAAGGAGACAGGAGACAAAAGAACAAGAAGAGCCTCAAACCTCCAATTCTGTCGGCATTTGCTCTTAATGTCAAATGTCTTAATTTCAAATTAATTAAATCTCTGGTCTAATGTGACATGTTTTCCAAAAGTACACTGCTGCATGAATATAGTGTGATCATGCTTGTGCATTGTTTGTTTTTTGCTGTTAGTAGAAATGCTTTAAGGCCTAGATATGTCAAAGAATGTGTCTCTACTTCAAGGCATTCCTTGGCATATCCATCAGTCCCAGTGCTTTAAGAGCTGCCTCAAAACAGTCATCAGACCAGCAGATACCCAAGGGATTATGTCAGATAAGATGTGACTAGCTGAAATATGCAGTCATTGAAACTCAGCTGGCTTCTTGAATTTCTTGTATGCCCAGATATGCATGTGCTTCTCTATTTATTTATGTTTAGATGACAGCAGTGAAGTACCTCCTGGACATGAATCCTGTATGCATCTTGATAACAAACATTAAGTCCTGGACAGTGTAGCTGTGAACTTTGCTGTTCAGCTCTCCCAGGTGACACGTGTTGGATGTCATAACCAGGCCTGTGACTTTACGTGGCAACAGAACCCTCTCAGCCAGCAGTTTATTGCTTCTACCTACTGTCAGACTGAAGCTTACTTTAAGGACTGAAAGTAATATAATGGACTTTAGGACTCTCAGTTGAAATTTGGAAACAAAGTTGCTTATATTATCTAGAAATCAACCTTTATTTTTCTAGTTGAAGAGAAAAATTGTAAGATGAACTTTTCATATATGAAGTGTTTTATTTACTGGAAATGGTCATCTTTAGAAATGTTTCCATCTTTCACGTCTTGCAAAAGCTATTTTTTTTTAAACTTAAAGATATAAGTTTTCATTTTGAAATGAACTGAAATGAACTGTTTTGATACTTCTGAAATTCACCTTACACATTCTTTGGAGAGCAGGGTCAGACTCTGAATTTGCAGAAGCTAAGTATAATAGTAAATATTCTCCTTGGAACACTATACTCCTTAAGTTTCCAGAAGAATCTAGATGTCCATGTAGATCAGAAAGGGAAACATAACTATTGGTACAAGTGGCAAGACTGTTTTTGACTTGTTTGATCCTCAGATTTTGTTGTTTTCCTTTAGGAAAAAGAGGTCAATTGAGCACTCTGGAGTAGAGGAAATTTTGTACCTTCTGTCTAGTGGGAGTCTGAGTGTGTAGTAGTGTGTGCTGGGGACTTAGGAGACTGTAGCTAATGCAGAGATTGGAGTCTACAATGAGAAAACAAAGAACAGCTGGTCAGTCCCCAGAAGGGATTACAGGAAGGATTTCCTAAGACCCAGAAGACTGGATAAGGCTTGTTGTTGTTTAGGAAATAGCTGACCTGGCTAGATTTGAGCACTTGTCTTCACAGAGGGGGGTTGCATATGTATGGTTTAATTTTGCTCTGCTTTACTACTTGATTTGAGCATTTTCTGTTTACAAAATCAATTGTTGTAGCTGTTAATTGTATAAAAGTTGGCTTTGGAGGCATTTAAAGTCCTTGGCTTTGGGAAATTTGCAGTAAAAAAAAGCTTTGGGCCACTATACCTGTGTTCTCTCTCCATGGGCTTATTAGGTAAGACCAATCTGCAGAAAACTGGTCCCTGTGTCTTCTCTCAGCAGACATTCTTTCAGTCCTCGTAAAGTAGCCCTGAAATAAGTAATGTGAAGTAAAGGCAAAACTTCCCAGGAAGTCTGATATGGCTTCAAAGCTAAGAAGAGTTAAAGGACAGTGAAGGACTCCATCAAAAAAGGACTATGGTTGAAACAGAGACAATTTATGTAGTCCTAAAAAGCTTTTGAAACTTCTTACTACAGTCAAAGATCACAGTTCCTGCTGCTTCTTTCAGTACTGGACAAAAGGTACCTGCAGGAAGAATTTGCTTTCTATATATTCCTTTCCTTTGGGGAAGGACTTTTCATAAGGGCAGTTAATGACAAAACAAGGAGAAATGGGTTTAAGCTGAAAGAGGGGAGGTTTAGATTAGATATTAGGAAGAAGTTCTTCACTGTGAGGGTGGTCAGACACTGGAACAGGTTGCCCAAGGAAGTTGTGGATGCCCCCTCCCTGGAAGTGTTCAAGGCCAGGTTGGATGAAGCTTTGAGCAACCTGATCTAGTGGAAGGTGTCCCTGCTGATGGCAGGGGGGTTGGAACTGGATGAGCTTTAAGGTCCCTTCCAACCCAAACCATTCTATGATTCTATGATAACAATGTAACCTCAACATTTTATTTTCATGCTCTTTTTCCAAAATCACAAGACTGTGGGGTTTGGTTGGTTGGTTTGTTGTTTTATTTTGTTTATTTGTTTAAGAGAGCTCAATGAGGTGAGAATGAAATTAAAACAGTCAGTTTTGGTAGAATGAGACATTTCTGGTACAGCTAGAATCTTTTTAAGCTTAACAGCCAAATCAAAATACTGGCAATCTGAAAAAGGAAAAAACGTATTTCTATGTGCCCATCCTGTTTTAGGAGTAAGGCTCTTTTGGAAATCTTCTCTAAGGTTATCTGTTCTTTCTGTCAGTAGAAGGAATTGTCTGGGCTGCTTCTTTCTCCCTGCTTTGTGATCCTGCTATATAACTGTCATACTTCAAAGTCTGGATCTTGACATTTGAAAGATGCATTCTGTATTCGAAATCTGGTATATAATTTCTTCAGTGTGAAACATCCACTAAGTGATTTTTCTAATCCTACAATATTCTCTGCACACTTTTCCCACAAAAAATAAAATGAAAATTTATTCTCCATAGTAAAATTTATGGAGCTTTTATAAAGTTGTAGAATATACCCTTTTAAAAATCATTTTCCTAAGGGTGTATTTATGAAGGTTATGCATGCTATACCATATTTAACTTTGGGAGAAGTTTTAAATCAGCTGGACTCTTCTGGGTTTTTTGGTCATCATTTCAAATTGGGGGAAAAAATTATATCTTTAATTGTTATTTTCAGTTTTACAGAATTTTTGGATCCATTCCAGCGGGTTATCCAGCCAGAAGAGATCTGGCTGTATAAAAATCCTTTGGTGCAATCAGACAACATACCTACACGTCTTATGTTTGTAAGTACTAAAGGTTTATTGGTCATTTGATATCTGTAAACTAAGTACCCTTCCATTTGATAAGCAGTAGGAAAGCTTTCAGAAGTATAGGATGTTTCTTTAATTCTAATGACAATTGTTTTCCAAACCAGGCATGACCAAAATGTAGGAAATTGTGGGCAGTTTCTAAAAATCAGCATTACCAGATGACTGAATTTATGAATGTTGATTTTACACTTTAAGATTGAAACTAGTGTCAACTTACGTGGATGTTAGAGAAATTATTAGAAAAGCTTTCTGAATTAACTGGTTGGGTGACCTGACAAAAACTTGCCATGCTCTTATTAGATTAAATGCTTAAATTTTGAAATATGATTTGTTTTAGGCGTGCTAGGCACTGAGATATTTGCCTCCAAATACTTTTTTTTTTTCCCATATAGATGAAACCTTTGTTTAGCTTCTGCCTACAAGTGTACCAAATATATCGTAGAGCTGCTCTGCCGTCACCATTCTTTGTGCTCTCCCCAGCACAGCTCATGTTGACGTGCAGACTGCTTGATTTTGGTGGTTTATCTGGTTATCAAAATCCATGGTTTTGATAACTTCACTACCAATGATTAACAATCATAATAATCTACACATAGGAGTGCAGTAAGACAGACCACTACAGCAATGCTAAGAAATTATGGGTATAGTTCAGGCTATTAAAACAAGTAGGTCAGTTTTTGCAAAAGCTTCATCAAAGTGGTGATTTTGCAGGAATGGTCATGGCAGAGGAGGTCAAATCTTAATACCCTTACATCAAAGCACCTTTTCCTGTGTCTTCAGTGAAACCAGGATTTTACTTTTCAGATTAAGGCTTGAATTAAGGATAAATGCAAAGCAGCTATGTAATCAGTCTTCAGGTTTTTTTGGGGGTTTTTTTTGAAAGGCTCAGGCCTTCAGTTACAGAAACTTTAAATTAAGCAAGGAACAACTTGAAGATGCTTCCTACTTATGAGGTAACAATATATCCCAGCCTTCTAAAACAGAGGCTGAAGGCCTGGTTTTAGATTTGCCAATATGTTGTGTATATTGCATTAAGAAGAAGCTGTATTAAGGACTTTTTCAGCTGAATGGGTGAAAATGCATGTTTTTCCTGAAATGGAAGACAGCTGTGTAAAAAGGAAAAACAAACCACAAACCCAAGCATTAAACTGTTGCACTAGGAAAGACTCTGAGTTTAATTCTGGCATTTTTTTCTTATGCTGAGCATTACCTTGCTATGTGGTTTGACTGATCTGTGTTTACAACTGAAGAGTTCAATGACCAATAGTGAATCATTGTACAGGGGTTGCTGCTGTGGTGAAACTAATTTTGAAACCAGTTGGGATAACCATTGGTCTATCCTCTCTTCTCTAGGTAGTATCCTCTGGGAAGCACAATTCTGGGGTGTAAGTGTAACACATTTCCCTGTTAACCGCTTCCTATAGAACCAGCTTTTGGTATACAACATGGCAAGTAGAACTTCCAGGCAGCTCTGAGTCAGTAACGTTTGTATAGTCTGTGTTGTCTTTCTGTCTCAGACCATTGACAACTCAGTATCTCAGTGAACAGCTTCTTAAATTAATAAATGTGGATAATTTCTAAAGTTTTTTCTTATTTCTTCAATTAAAAAGAACCAATTCTAGCACTGTTTACAAGCTTTCATTATGTAAAGAATTTCTTGCTGCTAGTGTTGTACTCTGATATTGAAACATATGGCTATGGCTTACCAGAAAGCAATCTCTAGGACTTTATGAAGTATTAGATTGTTTTATATGCCTGGAGATTTTAATTCAAGAGAAATGTGAATACTCCAAACCCAGATCCAAATTAGGCAAAGCTGACTTCTGCATGGGTAGCAAGGAAGCCACAAGGACTGTAAAGGCCTGAGCCTTGTTCTATATCTCTGTCAGTGAATACTGCTTGTCTTGGAAAGTGTAAGGTGCTGTCAACTTCTTTTGAATGAATGGAAGTACGTGGGAGTCCCTATAACTTTAGCATATCTCTAGCTTGCCAGGATGAATAATGAATGAGAGAGATTTTGTCCATGTTTCACAAAAGCAAGGCAATGTTGGAATATTTCACTGCTGGAAAAGAAAACATTACTGAAATGTAGCTGAGGAGAGTGTTGCTCATTAGACTGTTGCCAAATCTGTTATGGATCTGAGCCACAGAATCTTTTTGCAAAATGAAGAAGTCTTTAAAAAGCCAAACTTTCTTTATATGTGCATTTTGCTGCAGAATTAAAAATACCTTCCAGCTAGTGCCTTTGTGTAAGGAACAGCAATATACTGCAAACATGAATAGTTCTTCGTATCTCTCAAAAATGCACATGCTTGTGAAATATGAGGAAATCTGCGGTTTTACCAGATTCCTAAAGATTGATTGTGAAGTGGCTTGAAACAAGCTGCCACTGGAGTTCTATTCTTTGTTGATATTTTCTGCTGCTCCTGCTTGTTTAAAAGATTTCTAACTCCATCAAACCATCACTATAAGCCTGTCAGCCTGGCTATACTTCTACATCTTCTTCAACAATGGAATGCAGATATCCTTCTTCTTTTCTGGGAGCAATCCTTACTTTTTCGAATGAAACTAATAATTCTGGGTTTTGTTTTAACCATTTTTTATTTCACACTCTGTCTCTGAAAGCAGAATTTATACTATTGCTGAGGATAGAGAGAAGTGAACATTTCTGGAGCAGTGACATGGCACTGGCATCCTAACTTTTGAATCTCTCACACACTGTAGACAGAAGGAAGTTTTAAGTGGCAATGTTGCATCTTTTGGCACAAAACCTGGTGCCTACCTTTCTAAATGTAAAAAAGGGGAGCAAACTCCAGACTGTGTTTTAATCTGCATGGCTCACTGAGTTAGATAATATTTTGCGAATGCAGGTGAGGGGAATCTGGTCCAAGGTGCACTACCAAAAGAACAAATACAGTGCATTTTCATGTTGTTCCCTACTCAGGTATTCTAAAAGCGTAAAATGAGGACTGGGATTAATCTGTATTATAAAAAGAAGAGAGTCACACATCTTTTGTCATAACATGCCTGTTCTGTCTCTGTTTTTTATTTCAGTGAGGCTGTTCAAGAAGTAAGGCTCTGTTCAGCCTCAGTATCAAGATAGCATAATCTTACTTAAGCCCCTTGTGCCATTTACTGTTTAATTTTCACCTTGTTTTTTAAAAAAAACAGTAATTTTCACTTTTCTTCATGAGAATAAATGCTTTTGAAAGACTTTGATTTGTTTTTTAACAAATATGAGTGTGGAGAGGTTTGCAGATTCCAGGAAGGAATTTTTTAAGTTAAACCAGAACCAGCAAGAAGCATAAATGAACTACCTTGCCTACAAGTTGCATTTTACCTCTGCAATTGAAGGTCTTAAACAGAAGGGATGATGGAAGGACCAGTTGGAAACAAAATCATAGTTTCTGTGGCAAGATACTAATGAAAAACTCCCTGGTACTGTGCTTGGGAGAAACTGATATGCCTCTCTGGAGAAAGACAATAAATATCTGCTCTGGAAGGACAGACTGCGGTTTACAGACACTACACAGAGTAGGATGCTTTTGAGATAGCTGGCACATTTACAGTGAATCATCAACCATATTCCAAATTGCTCTGTAATAATGGAGATGCTGTTCATGGAAATCATGTGTGTGCATTGATGTGCAGATGCCATTTCAGGTTCCTTGTAGGAGGAGTCTTGTCCTACAAGCACTGACAATAAAAGAATACGGTTTTGCCTAACCAGTGAGTATACTTGTAGATGCTCAGGTGATGTTTTTCTGGTTTTGAACAAAATCAAGCAGTTGGCTCTACATCCAAACACTTGTAAATTAAAGAATCATAGAAATGTGATCTTAATGCATTCAAGAACGAGAGTTAAAAAGAAAATCAAAAGTAAAATAAGAACATTTTAAAATGTCAGGTAGTTAGTGCTGGAGTCTGTTATATTGAATAGTGTCTTACTGAGAGCACAGCCTAGATGGGCTGCCTTCTGGAGCAATGCTTAGGGTGGAAAAAATATCCACAGATCAGTGTACAAGTTTTGTTGACTTTATAGACTGTTGCTTTTTCATTTATGAAGCTGACATTTTAAATGCAGCTCCAGGCAATTACAAATCAATTATAACCCACAGTTATATTACAGCTTTAATGTGTTTGTTGCCCTGTAGTCGCAAAGACAAATCATTCCACTTTGCTTAAGGTCAGGAGCTTGATAAAGATCATTCAACCTTCCAGTTTAAATGGAGCTAACTGGAACTAATTATTAATCAGTTGGACTGAAAAGGAATTGATGCTCTCACTTTATATTTGTTCCCTTACAGGCAATTTCATTCCTTACACCACTAGCAGTCATTTTTGTGGTGAAAATAATCCGACGAACAGACAAGACTGAAATTAAAGAGGCTTTCCTAGGTAATGTATGTCATACTTCAATATGGAAAATATGTGATAGCTCTCAGAGATTGTTTCCAATTGTAGTCTAAACCTTGAAGAAAACCCATCTCTATTACAGTCCATTACAGTAGTTTTCAGTGCAGTTAGACTTGCAAGGCATCTCACAAAAGTATTTGTTTTTATGTATGTTTCTAAATGCACAAACTCTGTGCCTTAATTCCACAATCTAGCTAGCAAGGGCCAGAATTTGATCAGCAAAGACAAGACCATCTCAGAGACTGTTCAGATGTATATTTTTCTGTCACAACCAATCTATTACTTTCCTCTAATTTATACTTGCAGCTATTTTAAATTAAGGGTTTGACTTGGCAGTCCTGTGAGACTCAGCTGCTTAGTGTAAGGAATTACTCCTCTCATTGTTTTCTCTGACCTTCTGGAGTTTACTGTTCCCCATTGCAAAATCCTCATGGCTTTTCTAGTCACAAGCTGATGTTTCATCTTAAAGTGCCAGGGGAATTAGATGTGCACTTAATCCTGGGCTGTGAACTACTATGGCTGTGTTATGCGTGATGTGTAATTACAGTTGTAGGCAGCAACTTTGAGCAGAGGAGCAGGTAGACAGTGGGGATGGTAAGTCTTAAATTGTTCCAGCTAATTCTGGCTGCGCATATCTTTTGGAATCTTGGTGGTACATGCTCAGATCCTTTTTACATAGATATTGCCAGAGACTAAAATTGACTAAAGCACTTTCACTGGCAGATGATGCTTTGAAGCCCTAAGAACTGCGAATATTTTTGTTGGCAGTATGTTTGACATATACCTAATTCTGAAAATCTGTTTTACTGGCTAATTTGCACTGTAGTTTATTGTCCCTTAGACTGTAAGATCAAGCCAATGCTCAACCTTGCCTTAGCCAGATAGGATGTAAATGGCACTATGTATCTGCTTTTAAAAATTATTTTTAAACAAGGCTGGTTCCTATAACTTGTTCTTTCTCCAGTTGCTCTAACACAAGTGAGAAAAGATCCTAGTTTTGTTTTGGCTGCTGCCAGTCATTTGTAGTAAGTTCTGAAATGTTTATAGTGATATTTTACTAACAAGTCCATTCAGTAGAAATAAATCTGATTCATAAAATGCATAAAGTCACAGTTCTAAGTTTGTTTCTGTTGTTTGAGAAGGAAAGGAGCTTTGTATTAATTTCTCCCTCATTTATTCTCACCTTTTTTTCTAAAGAGACATTAATTTTTTTCTGCTATTCTTGCCTTCTGTTTTGATTCCCTCTCGAATGTCCAGGAGAAAACCTGACAGCTTCCTCAGTACTATTTTTGCTACTCAGACTTTAAGGAAACCCTATCCTGTTCTGCAGTATATCCCTGTTCAGTATATGCCATAAATGTGGAACTTCTTGTGGTTTAATTATGTTAAAGTGTGCTGTACATTAATATGATCCAGTATGTTAATGTGTCCGGTGTTGTGAAGTTGATGTGAAGATTTATTAACTGTGGTGAAGCTTTGCAGATTTGCTGAGATCTGGTACATAATGTTCATAATGAATGATCAGAAAGTCCTCCAAATGGTGAATTTCTTTAGGCATCATGTGTATAAGAGATCAAAGGTTAAAAGGATGTGAAAATGCTTTGCCCCTCATATATAGCCGTTAAGATAAAGAAGGTGACTCAGTGCATATAGGGTAAAGTGTAGTGAGCTTCCTAATGTAGGTGCCCTTAATCCTTCCCCTGGAAGTTCCTACATCTCTCTACTGACAAGATTATATGACTTTTGGTTGACAGTATGAATCTTTCCCAAAGGGAACAAAATGAAAGCACGTGCAATTTGATTATCAGTTTACGTTCACACAACTGCTACTTGGATTGCCATTGTAAGGAATGTGCATCAGTGAAAGCATGGTTCAATCAGGTGTGCATTGAACAATCAAGACCAAGCTCAATGAAAAGAGTGAACTTTACTGCATGTCTCAGAAAGCAGATATCTCTACACTTCCCATTTAAAAAGGAGAAGGTAGTGCTGTGACGTTGCTGGCCATACGCATTTGACTTTGTGGAAAATTTCAGTTCACCATATGATCTCCATAAATAATTGAGAGAAAACAATTGAGAAGAAAAAGAGAATGTGGGATTGAGTGGTCACTGTGAACATAGGTGTTGGAAGTGGAAGACTTTTTTTGAACGCTATCAGTATCTCTAGGATTGAATTGTTCTTTTATTTTTGCTGGCAGCTATTGCTATTGTCTGAAAAAACCCTTGTTTTTGATTTGATGGAGGACCTCTTTTTTTAACTTAAAGAAAAATAGATCCTATAACACACACATTTTTATGATCTGTAATATCCTCAGGCAAAGATTTTATGGAGACAGGATGAGTGCTGCTGAAGTGTAGCATCTGGGGCAGCAGTCCAATGAGAATATAGCTCATGTGCTGTCATAATCACAATTTATATTACTGTAACTGTTCTGCTGGAAATCAGAGATTTACCTGATAGTTTTTATTTTTTTTCTGATGAGAAATAAAATTCAGTGACTCTTGTGTTGTAACATGGAGCTATGGTGTGGGCAGCAACATTAAATCAGTTTTAATCTAAAAGCAGTGTATGCGCTGGACCCAAGTGCCACTGAAATCAAGGCAGAGATCTCCGCAGGCTTTAGATGAGGTTCTTTGGAAAGTGTAGGGACTCACCATCCAAATACAAATAAAAAAGATAATTCATTTGTACCTACTATGACAGTTCCTGCTTATTACTCCAATTTTATTAGGAAAATTGGTTAATCCTGGGAGGAAATGTAAAAAAAAAAGTCAAGATTTTTAGTCAAACTTCCACATCGTTTTGAAAGAAAAATTAAAAAAAATATCCAATTTTAGTTTTAGCCAAAAGGCAATTCTTTAGCCTGAAAGTGGACTGTTTAATTATGTCAAACTTATACGTGTATACACACACACACACACACACACACACACACGTGTATATTCCTTATGTATAAGTCTGCATAGGAATTCTCCGTGACCCAAAGAGTGTAAGATTTTTGTCTAGTAAATTGGAAAACTGATAAACATCGTACTTGATTCTCTAATAATTGTTGTCACCTGATGATTTATGTTTATGCATGATAGGAAAACTTTCCTTATGCAAATAAGATTTCTCAAGAGTAAAAGCAGAACAAAGTCATGGGATTATGATGATGCTCTGGAGTCTGTCCTTAGTCTGGATAATAAAAAAGACAGTAGGCTGAAGAGATCATTCAGTTTTCAGTCCAATGGACGTTTCGGTCTGTGAATCAAATGCTGTAATGCTGCAATTTATAACTTGTTATTTGATTATTGTTGTTCTGTTTGTTCATTCTGTTTTGTAGCTGTTTCCTTGGCTCTGGCGCTGAATGGCGTCTGCACAAATACTATTAAATTAATAGTGGGAAGGTAAGTCTTGTCATGTTATAAATTATAGCTTTAACTTTTAAGAGGGATGAAGACAGATTGACAAATACAGTACATTTCAATAAAAAGATAGCTGCTGCTCCAAAGCACGTTGAATTAGAATGGTCCCCTGTGAAGTTGTCCTTGCCCTAGTGCAGGTGTTGCCCAACTTCATTATGTGACATCCAGCTGTGGTAGGAATCTGTGCCATTGTGTTTTGTTATTTGTTTGACTGGTCAGAGAATCCAGACAAATGAGGAATTTGAAAGGAAAGGTGTGAGCTGAAATAATTTCATTAAATTGACAACACAGAAGGGAACAGTCACAGCATGTGGGAGTTCAGATGCCGGTGCCACTAGTCTGATTAAATAAGAATCAATTGAGTCTCTATATAACCCAGTGCCTGCATTGTGTGTGAAGCATATTACTGAATGTGGTATTTCCAGGTAACATCAAGATCCATGGCAGAACAATCCTTGGAGCTAAGCAATAAGTGGACTCCTAGGTGGGCCATTTTTTTAGGGAAGTGTAAATTTGAATGAGGGGCTCAAAAAAACACTAGCAAACGAAAGTCTCTGGAAAATAAATTTTTTTAGGTATTTTTTGACTCCTTATCAAAATTTTGAATAATTTAATCTGCAAAATAAATGTTTAACTTGAATTCATACACTATTTAATAGAGTCCAATGCTGCGTTTGTTGTCCACCTGTTTTGCAGCATTGAGGAAGCAGTATCTGTGCTTGTTTTCTGATGAACCCTCTCTGCTACAATACTGATGCCCTGACAATAATGATACTTGGCACTTTTATTTTAAGAGTCCCTTTGAAATATAATTAAGAATGTCTGCAGCATCTTCAGCCAGACATGAGCTCACTTTGCCTGCCCTCCAAACCAACTAGTTGCTCTATCAGCCTGTCTCTGAATCTCTCATCGTTTGCTTTGTTTCTCTACATGGTTTATTAGCTCAGGATCACTATGGGTTGTCAAGCATGGGAACAGGCTGTCCAGAGAAGTGGTGGAATCACCACGTCTGGAGGTATTTAACAAACGTGCAGATGTGCTGCTTAGGGACATGGTTTAGAGGTGGACTTGGAAGTCTTAGGTTTATGGCTGGACTTGATGAACTTAAAGGTCTTTTCCAATCAAAACTATTCTATGATTCTATGACACCAGTCAACCCTATGTTATCATTCAGCTGAGAGCAGGGTCAAAAGAACCTCACAGCTTTGTTCAATGCAGTTAGAGAGTCAGCATCAAGACTGACATTAGAATTTGGTGGTTGTTTTGGTGCCAGTCTTGTAGCCTAAGTTGTAGTCCTGTTCTCAGTTAGATGTGTTGACATGTGCAACTTTATGGGGTTGCTATGCTACTTTGCTGTCACTGGAAGTGCTGTACAAGATTGAACGCTGTAGGCAAGAGTAGCCTCTGCATGTTCATTTTCAGAGAAAACTCCCACTCCTGCTTCTGAAGCTTCCCCGAGAGAGCCCGCCTGTAAAAAAAGTGACCTTGAATTGATTATTCAAGGAAAACAAAGCATCTCTGTTGCTGTGTTAAGGCAGGAGGGAATGAACTCTGTATGTAATAAGCAGTAAATGTAATAATCTGAGGTTTATTTGTTACTACAGCTTTTATATTTTTAATATCCATGGTGTTTTTTGTAGACCGCGTCCCGATTTCTTTTACCGCTGCTTTCCAGATGGAGTAATGAACTCTGAAATGCACTGCACAGGTGATCCAGATCTGGTGTCTGAAGGCAGAAAAAGCTTTCCGAGTATCCACTCTTCCTGTAAGTTCATTTAAATGTAGTGCTTTTTTTGTAAAAAAGCTGTCATACCTATGTTTTGGAATCACTCTTTTTTTTGTTAGATCATGAACCTGATTTTTTGCTAGAGAGGCTGCACTTCTGTCTTAGGTCACCACTGCCAGAAATTTCTTTCTGGAAGTAAAATTGTGAGCCTGTGAGTCTTCCTTATCTTGAGAACCACCTGACTTCACTTAGAAGCACCATAGCAGGACTATCAGCAGAGTGAAGCACTTACTCAAGATTAAAGAAAACAGAGTGGTTCACAGGGGTTTTCAGTTCCCTAATGCAGACCTCTGTGTGCAACCTTTCTCCATATAGTAAATATTTATTTTGTTCTATTCCACTGAAGTATGAAATGGGACAAGGTATGTTTGACCTGCATCGTTTTGACAACATCTAGTTAATACCTTTCAAGTACTAGTTCTATTAAACCAAAGTTCAAGTCAGAAAGTTCAACTGCTTTTATCATTAATGTTTCTTCCTGGGAGGTTGTATGCTTGAAGGTGGAAGGGGTAGAAAGGAATACACAGAGATTATGTTCTATCATTTTGGTGCTGTTCATCCTAATGAACTGGGTACAAAGTGAGGTTCAAGAGGTCCCTATAGCACTAGAAGCTGTTGTAATATACCAGTAGAAGGATGATCCTTTCATTCCCCATTTTCCTACATTTTTGACAGTATCCACTGCTGTGGCTAAAGAAGGGATCCTTGTCTGTGTGGGTCTTGATTCTGAGAGGCTCTTATAATTCCATGTTCAGGTGTCTACTGCCACTGGAGCACTCTGTCTGACCACAGGCAGGAGTAAATGGTAGCTCTGTTCCCACCTCAAGCAAGCAGAGGAGAATAGGTAGAATGTCCTGACTTTTCTGTCAGGATGACAGCACAGAGGCAGTGTGTAATGGGAGAACACGTGTATCAATCAGATCTTATTTAGAGAAGCAGGTGGACAGGAAACAAAGGTAAATTAGGCACAGTTTGGAGTTTCTGTGGTTTCTTTTCTGCTCCTAGGACAGCACAGTCACTTGTCACTCCATTTGGCTTTGAGGTGGCCCTGGGTCTTGGTCTGCTGGTTTGATCAGTTACTCCTAGCTTCTGCTGTGTCCTGATAAATGTTTAGATGGCTTTGTGAAAAGTCATATGTCTGATTTAATTAGTCATATTAACTCAGATGTTTACAAGTATTCCTTTCTTCATCTTGAGGAACTGACTTCTGGAGTGTTTTATGTCAAGTGTCTGATAAAACTAAATTTTGTATATAAAATAACTTGATTACTGTGAGCTTTTTTGTGTTTTTTGTCCAGTATTGTTTGTTGCCTTGTGCTGTTCTGTTTCTGAGAACTGCCAATCAAATACCAGTAAGTCATATCTCTGGAATTTGTTTTTCTGATTTTTAATATTTTTTTTTTTTTTAAGTAATAACTTCAGATTGTCTAATTACGTGGAATTATATAGTGCAAGCAAGTTGGGTAATGAGATGAATGAAATTCTGAGCTAATCTTGCTCCCTTTTTCTTGTCTGAGTCCCAGATAAGGGAGCAGTAGATGTTTGTGGATATGTTTTAAGCATTGTAATCTTAAACAATAAAATAATTTAACCATCTCAAATTTTATTTATAATCTTCTAATATATTAAAGAGACAACAGTAGAATATATTGTATGCCATTTAGAAAAAAATGGTATTTATTATTTGTAGTCTGTCTTCAGCTCTGCTTGTCACACTCAATTGCAATCCTCTTGCTAAAGTATTTTATCAATATAGACAACAAAGGCTTAAAATAAGTGTGCGTATACACTGATGTACTGTATATTATTATACATATATAATTTATAGATTGACCCTCAGCAAACGTTATAGTTGGTCACTTTCCTTTACTAAAATGCAGCAGTTTACTCCGAGGCTGCAAAGTGTGAGTTGTGGAGAACACCCAGTGTGCTTTAGCTTTTGCACAGACTAGAAGCACTGATGTGTAGCATGCTCTGCTTCGCTCTGGCACACATACTCATTCTCTTACTAAGACTGCTTGTCACACAAGCTTGATGTGCTTTGTCCCTGTGCCAGTGGACCAGCCATAGGATACATACTGGGGTTTTACTTTTAACTGGTATTAGTTTTATAAGCGCTGAGTTATGTTACTATGGCTGCACACAAAATTCACTTGGAGCAGAATGATGGCCCAGTGTATTTAGATCAAAATTATGAGAACAGCTTTCTCCATCACTTATTAATATAATATTAGCATGTGGCTGACTATATTTCCCACTACAAAGCCTTTTATTACAATGTATAAGAATGAAAAGATATTATATGTGCAGTAATTGTTATCTGTTGGTAAGTGTATGCTAGAGTGAGGCAATTCTGCAGCTGCTTGAAGTATTTAGCTGTTTGAAGCCTGATGTTATAATATCTAAGCCTCTGACAAGACTGTGTGTTTTGAAGCCTGAAAATCCATACATAGTCTCATAATGGGGAAGGAACCCATTTTAATTTGATGATCTTACAAAGCTAACCTTTGTTCCTTCTGTGTAGCAAAATTATTTAGATAACCAGGTTTCTCAGTATTATTTTACCAAGAAGAGTTTATACTTGTGATAATAAATTTTGTTTCTTGCTGTTATTTCATCCCCTACAAGATTGAAAAGTGAAAAGCAAAAAATATTATGGGAGATACAACATTATACTACCTTCCTGGATGTATGAAGCAATGAGGATGTTGAGGATATAATAATTGACGTTTGGAAATTTTGCTATAATTCTACATTTTCAACTTTTTTTTTTGTGTAATGTATGAACTATACTGCCTCTACCTCCCACCCCCCCGTGAAAAATTATTCTTTTATTTCAGTTTTAAAAAGCTGTCCTTTATGCCTTCTTAACATGTAGGTAATTGAAAACTTTCCTTCCATAAACTCAGTCCAAGATTTTTTCTTAGCTCCTTTCTCCCTTCCTTCAGCATAAGGTTGCTACTAGGTAAAATGAAGGAGTTCACTTCTTCAAATTTCTGTCATCCTTTCCCTGTTTGTTGTGGAATTCATGAAGCAACACCAAAAAAAAAAAATTTTTTTTGTTTCTGTTACTGTTTGTGGGTTGTTTGTTTTTTTTTTTTTTCTATTTTCATGGATGGGAAAATGTAAGTGGGAAGGATGAGAGTTAAAATAAACTGTAGTACCTCTCATGGAATGATAGTTACAAGTAGCCCACTACAGTTTGATATTTTCTACTTCACTTGAATACATGAAGAAAATAAATCACAAGTAAAAGCTGCCAGGCAGCTCATAAAGAGAGGTTAGAAGCTTCAGTCAAAAGCCAAAACAGTTTTTCTTAGAGCATTCCTTGGACAGGCTGTCAATCAAGAGCTTTGTTATACCAGGATCTAAAACCTCATCCATGCAAAATGAGGCCTTTAACAAGAAAGTCTGTGGTGCTGTGGATGTTGCGCTATAAGAATGTATTGCAGGGATGTATAACAAGAGTGACGGTACTGACACCCCAGATGGCCTGACCTGACCTTGAGTATTCAATAAAAATGTTGTGAGCTACCTGTCTTCCACTTTGAGAGTCAACTTGGGCAATGAAGGAGAGTGTGTTCTCCCTCTTAGAGCACAGATGATTTTCTTGGCTTAATTTGCCAAGTCTTTGATCTCCCTGTGCCAAGGAGTGCATGTAATGGTTGACCCATGTGAAGGCAGTATTGTTGTTACAATCTTCTCTGAATGAGGGGCAGAAATCTACTTGCAATGGCTGCTGAAAATGGCATACCTCATTCAAGGCTGTCTTCTAGCTCTGTCCTTTTCTGAAAAGACTCTTGAAGTTAGGTGGCTCCTCTTGATAACTTTTTTATAACAGTAACTTGAGTTTAGAATCATAAACCATACAATACATCTTGTTGGAACCAACATTTTGCAGTGGGGAACACAAGTACAACCCAACATTCAGTGACTTCATAGAATTCACCCAGTAGTGCTTGTTCTACTGGATCAAGGAAGTCCCTCGACCTTCTGGATTGTTTGGAGCATGTTTTGCCTTTTTTCCAGTTGAACTGCCAGTATATCTTGTTTGAACCAACAAACCATACCAACAGCATATCTCGTAAACCATACAATATATCTTGTTGGAACCAACATTTTGCAGTGGGGAGCCAAGACTTCTACCTGGTCCAGTAGCTCAGAGGCGTTCCTGACTCCCAGGTTTGTATGTAGCTATTCTGAGCAAAATGCTTCCAAAATGTAGGTGTATTTTTACATATTTAGTATTTCCATGGTTTTATAATCCATTGGCAATTTTATGCTATTTAAAGCTACTACCTGTGAAGATACTGTGAAGCTTCTCTATGTCCGTACTTCATTGCAAGAATGATGTTTATGAAGATCAGAAATGCAGCATTTCTTCCTCCTGCCTGTGTCCTTCCTGTGTGTCTTCTGTAGAGTTATCTTGCAGAAAGCCTTCAGGCAACCTGCCTTGGAGATACCTTGTGGCATTCTAACCTCTCAAGATACGTGGAGTAAGCACACACACTCTTCAGAGTTTGTTCTGGATGTACTTTGTAAGCTTGTTATCCAAATAATAAGCAAGTCTCTCTCCAATGTGGCCCTGACAATAATGGGAGTTTCTGAATGTCCGAAAGCCAGTTACACCATCTGAAAATGCTGACCATAGTAAGGAGTGGAGGAATTCAGCCATCTCTGTGGTGAGCTTCTGAAGAAACTTTTTCTTGTGTTTGGTGAAGTATGATGGGGACTGCCCTTTGCTGTTTTTTTTTTTTTTTGGCATAGTTTCCCCACTTCAGTGTCCTTATGTGCAGCAGAAGTGAGAACATATTGTTTCCTCAAATCACTCCTTGCAGTGCTGGAAAGTAAATAATGCAACTGCTGATAAACTGATACAAGACCCTTCAAATTTTTTCTCTCCTTGCAGTAAAGTTCAAAAAGCAGGAGCAAGCAGCAGATAAAAAATGAACATGAACCAAATGGATGTACATATAGAG